AGGCTCTGGCTGCTGCCAATCTCACGGAGTGTGCCCAAGGCGGCACGAAGTCTGCGATTCTCCTCGGACTCAACCAGGACCCAATCTTTGTGGATCTCCACTGGGCACCCCTTCTAGTCCTACCATAGGGCATCATATGACATACTCGTGCTTTTTAGGGTGGGTATGTTGGTTGATGTCCACCTTTGGGACAAATACCAGTCATAAACAGCATCCAGTGCGTCACCAGCTGCGCGGCTGCTCCTCTTCCAGCACAGCGATGCGTTTCTCCAGCATGGGGACCTGGCCCCAAACCCCCCCGCAGTCAGACTGCCGGTCCCACGGCCCCAGGAACTGGCACCACACAGAAGTTCACAGAACCATCTTCCAGGTCGAAGCCCAGGTCACATCCCAACAAGCACCAGCACACACACACATCCCAGGTCGCCACTGAACCCGATCGCCACTCTCCTCGAAAGTCCGTCGGGCTTTAACATGTCCCTCCCAATTCGGAAGCTTTGGGCCCAACCAACACGGCTCGTTGTCCAAACGCGCCGGGTTTTTTTGGCGCTCGCCTTGTCCTCCTCGCTCAGCTTTGTGGCCTGCGCCGGGCCAAGCAGGAGGAGGTTGGCAACAAAAAAGTCAAAGAAAACAGTGGATGTGGTGTCGTTCTTGAAATGGAAACGATATGAGATAGTTCGTGTTAATGCACATGTTGCACAAGCCAACCAAAGCTAAAATGCTGAACATCTAATCCCAAAACATTACGGACTGGATGCATGTTTTGTATACAGTACATGTAAATATAGGCGGGTATGATATAGTATGATTCAATATACATATACTAGTATACATATATGCACACACGTTAAACCCATGTTACACCATGTGAGAAACAATCCACTGTTGCATGCGACACGAGCTCCACTCGCTCCGGTGGCCAGGAGCTCGTGGCAACCGACGGAGTGACGGCTCCAAGGTCCAGGCTGGTGGGCCAATGGGGCTGAGAGCCTCAGCAGAAACCGCGGTGGCAAGCGCTGCAGCATAGCCGCATAGCGATGATGTTTCTTTGGTTTCCTTGTTTTTTAGAAAGCCTTTGTGGCACTGCTTAGCTGACTGGCTTGCAAAGAAAATGTGATTTATACATGGTTTCATTGTCGGTTCATAGAAATCCTGGATCTTCATGGATCTTCTGGAGCTGGCATGCCTGAATCCATCACCACGGACGTTCGGAAGATCCATTGTCATGCAAACGGTCAGATCCATGTCTTCTCTTCTAGATTGTATGTTCTTCTCTTCTCTTGCTGACCGCCCATTCGGAGGGAGAAGAACCAAAGAAACGCCGGTCGGCGCCGGTCGGCTGAGCTCTACACATCTCCTCGTGACTCGACGGTGACTCCAACATCTGGCCGTGGAGAGCTGGCGGAACACCAGATGGTCGGAACTCGCTCTGAACTCAGCCCGGAACTCACTCCCTTGGATTTGTGGAAGGAACTGGGGAAAAAAAACACCTACATTTATCAGAAGGGGATTGAACCATAGAGGACATATGGAGAACTAACAAATCGCCTGATCCACATAAAAAGGTGTACGGATTCACCAGGTCAGTTCAACATGCGATGGTTCGGTCCATCCCAGTTCGACTCATCTACCCCCAAAGGTTCTCAAGGTCCAGGTGGTCCAGTCCTCTGCAGGACGGTAGGTATAGATCATATATCATATATATTATATATGAATATGAATTATATGTCCAATTACATTCTCAATATCTATATATATATGTATAGTATAAAGAATATATATATATGAACATATATCAACTACCCCCAACTGATCAGTAAATATGGCACTCCCATGGAGTGTCTGGGTGTGGCATATTGGCCCCAACGTCTGTTAGAGTATGTCAGTTCCTCTCGCTAAACACCCGTTGGAGAGTCATGCCAACGTGCTTGTCCCAAGTGTAATGCAGACGGTCGATCAAACCATCCACCCCTACAAAATGTATTTGCTACATCGAATTTGGGTGCCGTTTTACGTACCTTATCAGTCAACATTGTGGGCGCCGCACGTGCCAAACATGGAGAAATCGAACATGGAGCCAGTTTCGATCGGCAACGCGGCGATGGATCTCCAACATTTGGCTGTCCTCAATCCTGCACTGGAAGAACGTCGTCTGGACACAACAAACGGAAACGTCTCCACAAAGGATGTGGTCAAGGATAGGAATTGGACTAGTGACTAAGAGGTCATGTCACACCCATAGAACTACAGTAGTTTCAGAGTAGATGGCGCAACCCCCCACGAGGTCTTTTTAGATGGGGGTCCATATCAACCACCAAACTTGGGGTAAGTTGTGCCATCTACACCCTATACCCTCTGCACCCTATACCCTCTGCACCCTATACCCTACCATTATAACTTGTACCATATATGGTTACCCCTCTACTTGTACCATCAACTGATCTGAAAACCACTATACCCATCTTTGCCCCACCAAACGTTAGAGACTGAAGAAAACCACCACCCCAATGCTGGCCGCTGTCGAAACTCGGGGCCTTCGACGGTCACCTTGAGTGGCTCCCAAAGTGGCCCAAAGCCTCCGCCTGGGACCGGCGGCGTCGAAGGGAAACGGCTGGGAATGGATCCCAGTCCCACGACCAGTCTGGGACTGCCAGGACGGACTGCCTTCAAAACGGCCGTTCGGGGTGGTGGTGGTGCCAGGGGGGTCAATGGATCAGCAGTCCTATGGCAGTCCCATGCCCAGACGCTCCATATATGCCATATATGCCTACATTGGGGTGGTTTGGGGGGGTTAACGTAGGCATATATTGCATACATGGAGCCTATGGGATGGAGTGTCTGGGGATGATATATGAAGGTGTTCGTTCGTTCGTTCGTTCGTTCTCTCTCTCTCTCTCTCCCCATCACCCTCTCCATGAGATTTGCCAAAGGCTCTTTTGGAGCCGGCCTAGTCCCGACCCGTGCAGTGCTGGATGTCCGGTGCGGTCCGCCCAGCACCAAATAGAGGTGACACCTTTTCACCTTCAGCCCCAAAACTCTGGGCCGTCTTCATGTCTCAGATGTAGTATTTGAACATATTTGAATGAACATGCTCAAATGTACGTGTATGACAGGAGTGTTGCTGTTTTCATCCTATGTCATTCTGTGCGTGTCCTTCTCAGTCGGCTGGTGGCCTTCTAATTCTAACAAGCCATTTCATTAGGTGACCTTAAAGCCTACTTAGACAGCTCAAAAGATGTCTGAGCATCGACGTCATAATTTACCTGGTGGTTGATGTCCTTTTCAGGGCATGACTGACTTGGGACTACACAACTCTTGGGTACATAGAGCGTCCCCCCCCCAGTAACAATGGATGATGGTTCATAAAGGCCTTTGATCACCTTTCACTGACTGTTACTGGTTGCGGGACACCCCCTGCTTGCCCAAGCTTGCCCAAGCCGGGTGCCAGCTTCGAGGGGGGCACGTACTGGGCGCATGGCGGGGGGGATTCGGACACGGTCCCAGGAGGTCAGGTGACACCAGCAGGTCCACCACACAAGGTCACCTTTTTGTAGTAATCTCTAGAAGTCGAGTCGACTCTATGAAGACCACACGTGGCATCGCCGAAATGTGAAGGACACATCCTTTTGGGTCACCTAAAGATCATTCTTCCTTGACATTTCTTTGACTTCCAGGGCTATTCAAAAAGATTTTAGAATGGCTTTGATTGGGCCGCCCCCTGGATCTTTGCGCAACCACAAGCAGCACAACCCATGGGATTTGGTATGGAAAAAATTGCATCATTGTTCTTTTTTTGCTGCTTTACCGACCGGTTTTTTCGGCCAAACCGACAGATGAACGGTCACTTCGTTCGTTCTTTTCACGACCAGGTGCCGTTCAAGGCCATCGGCTGCCCTCGGGCCGCTTTACACGACTGCTTGAGCGGCCGATTCCCAATCTGAGCCCCAAACGCTACAGCGGCACCGAGCCGGAGCTGTGCCATCAGCGACTGCATGATTACACCATGATTATATAATATAATTATATATATATATATACTGACTGTATATCTCGTGCCCATTCTCATGGCAAAAGAGATCGAACTTTTTCGGCTCTATCCAGTGACTCAGCAGGTCGCCCCTACCCAGCCACTGCGCCGAAGCTCCGTAGCGCAGCTCCCAACGGTTGAATGCTCCATGGGCAATGGCCTCCACCCTAGGAGCGATGGCCTCTTTTTCTCTTTTTTCCCCGCTCTCTGTGCACCAGCTTTTCCAGAGTCTGCAGCTGGAAGAGACCTCACAGTGCTCAATCAAACGCGGCGCCCGTTGATGTCATTTGTGGTGAATTTGGTCGCTCAAAAGCAACGGCATGGGGGCCACCATGCTTTGAGCACATCATGCCTATACTTGGGAATGGTAGAACATTAACTGCAATGGATTCGGCGTGATCCCAACAATTCACCGCTAACCTGTCAATATATAACTCAGAAACGTTTAAAACGTGCGGTAGACTATTGACTATTGAAAACATCACTAAAGTTGCATCGTGCAACAGCCACATGGCTCACAGCGCCGCTGTTGCCGCCACGTCCGAGCACGAGCCCAGGGTTTTTGCGACGTCGCACGAGCCAGCATGCCCTCGCGCCATGCAGATTGTACAAGCTGATTCGATCGGTGGAAACCGTGTGACATCACGATCTATTGGTGGAAACTTCGGTGGCTGCCTATACCAATACTAGTCGGCCAATAGGTCCAAAGCTAGTGACCTAGTGGCAGAAAGTAGAAGCTGGCTGGATCTGGTTGGGTCTAAATGATTCTAAATGGATGATCTTCGCGGGGTCTATTGGCCGGCTGGCACGCTTGGGCAGGCTTCATCCAGTGGCTTGGCACTGCAATTTTAGCGGAGGCACAGCTGCGACAAATCTCTTGTCTTGCTGCGGATGTTCCTCTCATGCCTGTTTACCACGATGAAAGAAACGAAGCCCAAGGTATCCAAAAAACAGTGCAAGAAATGCAAAGACACTACAGAAAATGTACGTCAAAGTCAGGTACCCCAAATTCCTTCCCCCCTAAGCATAACAATATTTTCTGGTAGCCTTCCATGATCATGACGGCATAGAAATCTACGGCCTCTTCTCCACCACTTGTGTCAATAAGGGCCAGGTAGTTCTGTCCCGCAGTCCAAGTAAATGGAGAGACAAAGGCCAGTGCACTACTCAAACCTTCAGCGTCAGCAATCACTTGGGGTTCACTCATTGCTCCGCCCATGACCAAAATCACCACGGCAGTTGCGAGAGTGGAATTCTGTTTTGGCACCAGTGTGGACATAAAAATGCCCACTCCACTCGCACACATGGCGGTCATGCGAAAGGCAATCAGCCACATCCAAAAGCTGCAGGGTGCCTGTGAGAACAGCATCCAAACAGCTGTGTGCAAGTAGGACCACATGAGCACATCAAACAAAGACACCGTCAGGCGGGCCAGATAGAAGGCGGTCACGCCCACTCCACTGGCACTCTCACGCCAAAACAACGGCCGATCGGAACCGAAGATGTGGAGACATGCTATGCTGCTCAAGGTGCCGATGGGCAAATGGGAGATGTTGATCTTGAGCGGGCATAGGATGTTTTCTGGGATCAGCTTGTCTTGACACGGAGCTCCAAACACGGCGGCTGCGAACATGATGAGACATGTGCTGATGAGCTTGTGTTTCCAATCCCTTGCCCAGCGGATGCTATTTTGGTGAAGCAAGATGGGGTACTGAATGAGAAAGCGCCCGCGGCGTCCGAGCTTCTTCCCCGTGGGGATCCCGCTCACAGAGGTTTCTTTGGAAGATTCTGAGGCCGAGGAAATGAAATCCCCAATGCCTCGAGTGCCAGGTTCTTGGGAGAAAGAACCTCTCAAACCCAGCAGGAAAAAGACCAGCTTCTGTCGACTGATGAAGCCATCTTCAAATCCCATTCGTTCCATGAGACGTGCCCAAGAAGCCTCGGAAGGCCTCTTGATCTGCATGGTGTCCAAGAAGTTGAGGAACTGCTCTTGGCTCAACTCATCAACGTCCTCGTATCCTGCACTAGACAGTTTGCCATTCAAAGCCTTCGTGAATGCGAAGCTGTCGTGCTGGCCCTCAGAAGTGTCATGGCCCAACTCTAACTCCTCGGGCATGACGGTGATTAACTCAGCCCATGCATCTGCCAACTGTCTCGGCTGTAAGTCCGGATCCTTTTCGTTCCTCACCCTGCCTGAAATCACATCCATAAACCAATCGGCCGGATTCTCGTGCTGGGGCATCTGGAAGCCCAAGTTTCCTGGAAGCAAGTCTATCACTTGCGATGGTGCGGTTATATCACTGGGGCATCTGGTGCGGTTACACGCGGTGAGGATGGGTGAAGGCATCGTTTAGGTAGCACTCAGAGTCACTGCAAAGTAATTAGCTTAGAGGCTTAGAGTTGAGGGCACACCACTGAGTTTCCATTTTGATTGCCCAGTGGCCCAGCGGTTGTGTTGTAACACGTCGTCCCCTTATTGCCGGTCAAAACCCGTTGAAATCATACAGCAATGGCGTGAACGCCCTGCTATGAACCGCTCCCTGCTTTGGTCCGCGGCCAACATCCGGCTCCCAGTCGCCAAGGGTGGTCAAAGCCCTGCCCTACAGTTGCTACAAGAAATTCAGCATGTCTCAAACGGCATCCAGTTCAGGTCGAGCGGCGGAAGTATGGAAGAGCCCCCTCGCTTTTGCCCAAGTAGACAGTTCGGCCACCCAAACCAAGAAGAAGCAAATCATCGAAGAGAGTGAAGAGCGAGTAGCGAGGCTGGTGCACCACCATCACCACAGTCATGCCTGCATGGATAATATGGACAACCATCAAACACAGCTCTTTGCTTTCTTTAATTAAGGGATAGATACAAATCCCGCACACACACAACAAGAAATCATCATGCAGAAGAGTTGCCAGTATGTTTACTCCTGTCAGGCTCAATTGTATTCAATTGTAACACTTTGTAACAAAATTCGAGTCATTTCAGGATTGGGACGTGAGCGTTTTTTCTCACCGCTCGGAAAACGCCGCGACGCCGGGCTCGTGGCTCGCGTCCCGCCGCGCCTATGGCTGTGAGTCGCTTCACGGAGCGAATGATCTCGAGCGCAGTGCTGGCATCCAATCCTGGGCAAATCTTTGGGGAGTTACAGTGGTTTCGGAGTTTCAATGTACTTTGAGGATCGTTGAAGCATCTTTAGACCCCAAAATGTCCTGAAAAGTTAGGGAGTCCATCAACACATTAAACATTTCCAATACCAAGCTTCCTAATTCTCAACCCACTATTATTTGTTTGTCCTTTGGGAAAAAGGTCTTGCTTACTGGTTCGATGTCCTGAAGGCTCTCTCTTCTTAACTTCCAGCACCACCAAGTTTGGATGGTTGGACGGTGAACACATGGTAGAGGGAGTGCTGTAGAACACGTTACGTTGGCTGGTTTTCTTGAGCCCCAATTCCACCGGTCACATACCGTGTGGGTTGGTGGGCGCATCCACTCTTCAAACGATTCAAACGTTTCATGCAATTCAACGGACCCCCCCCGGTTCGGGGATGTTCGGGGTGTATATGATATGAGAAGAGTTCTTGTGAGTCGAGGTTTCGGAGATGAGATGAGATGTCATAAGTCATATATTCAAACAGGGGGACCTCCCAGGTCAGTCGACCCCCCTGGAAGATTCGGAAAAGAGAGGCGGCACCCAGCCACCCAGAATCAGGGGGTTCTCCCCTATCAACATGCACACACAGGAACAGCCCAACCCGTCCAACCGGTTCTCCGGTTCGCACCAGGTGACCGCTCGTTGGCTCATCCAACATCAAGATCGTGGGCCTGGCCGCGAGCTCCAAGCCGATGTTCACACGCTTGCGTTGCCCTCCACCTGGTGCCGCGAGTCGCTGCGAGTCGCCCGGCGCGGGTCGTTCGGCGAGACCGGGAAAATCTCAGGAAGGTGCTACTGCCCAAGCCAGGCCATATTGAAAAACCATCATGCCCACTATATGCTCACTCTGTCCCACTCTCACGCGCATTCGAGAGTGCCCGCAGCAAAACCCAGTCAGGGGGATAACCATGGCAAATACCCTCCCTGAAACAATCGGAGTGGATGGCATGACCCATGAAAACACAATGATCCGAACTTCCGAACACCAAACATGGGGTTGTCCACTTGCATTGGCCTTGTTTCAGGCCAGGAGAAAGTCAAATGGACGTCAACAAAAGGGTACTGTGTCTGGATCCAAAAGGGAAACAATATGAAACAATGTCCCGGCCACTGATGCCACGCTTCTCCACATTGCCCACGATGCTGTGCTGCACATCCAGCAGTTGCATCACGTTCAACACGTCTTCGACGATGTTGTTGATCATCTCCTTGGTAAAGACAAGGGGTCCGGATCAATGGATTCGAACGTGATGTTGTTCGCCCTTTTGGACGATTCCCTTTGTGGTGGGATCCCAGTGGAACATCTGAAGAATTGCATTCAAAGTCCCGGAATTCTCATATTACTCATTTACTCCCTGATCTCTTAAATTGCAATCAACATATATCGTCCAAGTCTCTCGCGGAGTGTCCTCCGCATTGCGAAGCCTGGCGGAATAGTAGAGCTGCTCACGCACTGTCAGGTGCTCATGGACAATGTCATCCTGCAGGGTCCATCATGGTTTGGCGCATCGAGTTCAGGCAAATCCCACCTACAATTACACCCTGGAAGACTAACATGGACCCCGAAAACCACTGGTAGAGGAAAACACTCTTCCAGGGGGGCCAGGACGTCAAGGTCTATGTTAGTTTTCGGGAGTGGAGTGGATATGCATGCATGTATGTATATTGTCTATACGCACAAAATAAGCTTAGGAACCAGCAATGAGGCTTGGCCTACGGCAGGACAACCCCGGGAGATATGATCCGCCCACAAGGAGCTTTGCGGTTGCCTTGAAGCGGTAACGCGTTTCCAAGGGTCGCAAGTTCTCACCTCTAATCCAAACTTGGCACAAGTAAAAGCTGGAGAAACATGGAGAAAGGAAGAAACAAAACAAGAGGTAAACGCAGCAAAAACCAAACAAACCCAAGATATATATATATATATAGTTCATATATAATAGCAAAGAATAAACAGCAAGAAGTGGCGAATGCCAACGTTTCCAATTTAAACAAAACAACATGGATGTGCCTTTTAATCGGAAGACCCCGATCGCCCCTCGCTGGGTAGACTGGTCTATTTCCCGCCGGTCCCCTGATTTTGTTCGCTACACACCCACATCTTGGGTCTATCCTACTACCAGGGCCCAGTGGATTTTGTTTGGTTCAGTTGCAAGCCTTTCTTTGCAAAAAAACAACTGATGATACTTGTTGAGTCAGTTCGGACAGACTTAAGACATACAGTACAATACCTCCTTGAGTCGCTTGGGACGCGCGCTTCGACGCATCGTCGATCCGCGGCACGGATGCGATCCAGAGGCGGAAGAACCCCAATATCCTATATCCTATAGGTGCCCCAGGGTAGACTGGATCCATCCGTTCAGGTCACTGGTTACGGGTCCTTCAACCACCCAGGTCACTAGTGACCTGCACTAGGTAGACCGGGTTCATCCGTTCAGGTCACTTAACCTCTGTTGGATGCAATCCATCGTCTGTCCGCGTCGTCCTGTGGCACGAAGCCACGCAGCTGCTTCACCTCGGCGATGCTGCTCGTCTGTCCATTGATGCGGATGGCACCCGTGGTGGTCCTGGGATGTGCCGTCCAGGAACCTGAACTTATTCCACTGGTTTGCGGATTGAACCATAGGGAAGATATGGGAAAATGCAACAAGCAGCTCAATTCAGCAAAACATTGCAAAACCAGGGGTCCCATAGTAGGCGCGACCACATAGAGCGTTCATGAAGGTCGTCTTCCCTGCCCCAGACGGCCCCATGATAGCTGCCACCCTCTTGGGCCGAAATTCACCACTCACACCCTCAACAATGCACTGCCCAGTGGACTTCAGCTTCACTCCCAAGTTGTCAAACTCAATGCGGATTGATGACATCTTCAAGCGCATGCCCCTGAAGCGGTATTCTGGCACCGCCTTGGAGGTGGGAATCAAGCTGTTGGCGAGTTCCACGGAACACCTTTCACATTCCGACATCATCTTCGATTCCTCGGAGAGTTGCCACCGCTGTCGTCGATTGATGAAGGCATTGATGGCCAGTACAGCATAGCCAAGCAAAGTGATACCCAGCATGCAATGCTCCCACAAATATGGGTCTACCATGGCTCGAGTTCAACTGGGCTTGGCTACATGGGTGCGGTGTGCCAGTATATGTTCTTCTTGGGCCACTTCTACGGCATACGGACAGCAAACATGCTGAACACTATGCTGAACATAATCTCACACAAAGCGACAAAGCTCCTCTGCTAGGCCAGGCCCTCACATGTCAGAGCAAGGGCTTGTTTGCAAAATGTTTATTTAGCATAAACACCTTCAAGCTTTCTGTCTTCCACACATCTTCCGCATGCGCCATGGCCTTTGAGGCTTCTCCATTCCAGGGCGATCAACTTCTCAAGGTGGCTTTCGGGATGCCTCAAACAGGCATGTCATGCGCATCTAATGTTCGTCGAGCAACCTGTGCGCTCACCAATGTAGCAACCGCTTACCCCTTCTGACACACACCCACACACACACACACACACACCCACCCACGCACGTACGCACCCACGCACCATCCCCTCAAAGACTCAGCCTCTGCCCGTCTCGAGACTCCTGGCGAAGGATAGGGAGAGAGTAGCTGCAGAAAATCATAGAAATCATTGCATTTGCTAACACCATGGTGTTTACCCCTATATGGTTTTCCTGTAGGTTTTCTCTTAAACTACTAGGTTTGGGAGGTTTCTGGAGTAGATGTAGGCCATGTACCATGTACCCCTTTCTTTTCCCCTTATGGACCGGGGCCCTGACCTCCTTTTTGTCCCTCATTGATCGATTCAAAGGACTCTGCTGACTTGTCTTGAAAGAGACAGAAAACTCCCAACCAATGCAGTGTGCCGCACATCCGAAGAAGAATATCCTCATCATAGTACAGCCAAAAAGCTCTACAACGGGAAAATGAATTCGAATTCCTGGGGAAGTGGTGCAAACTATTGCTGCACACGTGCGCACGCACATGGGACATCATTCCGGAATGGGCCACTCGCAGGAGAAGCTACGGCAAGCTTTTGCTTGCCAAATAAACTGTGTGGATTCCTTATGCCTGCTTGCCACGATGAACAAAGCGAAGCCCAAAGTACCCAAACATCAACAGAATGACTCCAAAAATGCTACAGAAAATCGAAGCAGAGTGCAGGTAGCCCAAAGCACTTCCCCCTAAACATTGCAAGATCTTCTGGTATCCCTCCATGATGGGGATTGCAAAGAAGTCCACGGCCTCCTCTCCACCGCTCACCTCAATCACTGCCAGGTAGTTCTCACCCGCCGTCCATGTGAACGGAGAAAGAAACGCCAGTGCACTGCCAAGACCCTCGGACTCCGCGATACTCTCCGGATCGCTGAGAGCTCCGCCCATGACCAGCAAGAGCACCGTCGTGGCGAGCGTGGTGCTCTGCTTCGGCACCACCGTCGACATGAAAACACCCACGCCACTGGCACACAGGGCTGTCATGCGGAAGGGAATCAGCCATAACCAAAAGCTGCATGGCGCCTGTGCAAAACTCACCTTGGATTTGCATATGAGGAGCCGGGAAGAAGAAATCTTCCTCCAAAAAGGGGTTGGCCCACAGGGGAAATCAAAGATCACCCGAGCAGCTTTCAACCAGGTCACCCACACCGTTGCGTACAAATAGCACCATACGAGCACATCGAAGAGGGCCACCGTCAATCTCGCCCAATAAAAGGCAGCGACTCCGACTCCGCTGGCACTCTCGCGCCAAAAGAGTGGCCGATCGAGAGAAAAAATTTGCAGACTTACAACTCCACAAACAAGTCCCAGGGCGAGCTGAGAAGTGCTGATCTTACCTCACAACACGACGGCACCACAGAATGAGTTGAAAGGGTACGTACTTTGTGGTGCTGGGAGTTCCCCAGAAAATCTACACAAGTGTCCCAACCTCGAACACGTGTAAGGAAGCAGGGAGTTACGCCAAAGGAGCCAAACCTTCCGACTCCGGCTGTCTCCCGTCTCATTTTTAGTAGTTTTGTGTGTATCTCAGGTAAGCACACATACAATAACATGTATGTATGTATGTATGTATGTATGTATGTATGTATGTATGTATG